TTTATTTATTTATTTATTTATTTATTTATTTATTTATTTATTTATTTATTTTTAGGGCAGGAATCAAGTCTTACTTTCTTTACACCCAAATGCCTAAATCCAGAGCCTGTTTCTTGACTTTGAATGAATGAGTTAGTAACTGTTTCTTGAACAAGTGCTCCTCTTCACAGGGCTAGTTTTAAAAAAGGCATAGTAAATTTATGGTATAATAGATGAGCAGCTAACCCTAACATAACTATGTTATTAGAACAAATAATTGTGCATTAATGACTTGGTATTCAATACAGTTATAGATCATATTATTTTTTGAAGACTTCACTAATTTAGTAAAGGGATTCTAAACTATTTCCTTACTTCTGACATATTTCAGAGAATTATGAGTCACAAAGCTTTGAGAGAGGCTTATTTATGAAATCCCATAATCCTACAGGCAATATCAAAATTCCAATATCAAGAATACCCAAGTACTCGCTAACAAGAAGCATTTTGTAGCAAAGGTTTTTATCTTTGACTTACTACCAGAATTACAGACTGAAAGACAATCTGACTGAGGAAATAAGGAACTGGCGTATACTGACACACCAAGAAAGCAAACATGAGTGTGTGTATGCATATACATACACATACACACAATTTAAACTCCATAACTCAGTTGCCTCATATGCTTGTTTTCAAGTTTGTATTAAGTGCTGGCTTATTGCAGGTGCAGTTCCAACATATCCCTAACATGGAATAGAAAATGGAGAATGAGCGACTACCTGTAAAGGAAGTTTATGCTTTTGAACAAGGGCAGATTCTCTTCTCTGGATATATCCCCAAAAGAGAGAGACAGGAAATTCCATTTCTCTTGTTTTAGCAATGATGTGGTTGAAATTTGAGATGTACTTGCTTCAGAATTTCCTGGGCCTGAATTGTTGGGAAAGCTAAGATTTTTCCCAACACTCAGCTATCAGCCTCAATCACCTAAATGTGAGTTTGAATGTTATTCACAGAAAACTCTACATGAATGGACACAAGCACAGTAAGTTTTTTATTGTTAAATTACTATGTTACCATATGCAGAGCAAAAAGTAAAGGGACTGATCTACTTGTGCATTCACATTTTAAATTCTTGAATAATGAACAAGTGAACAAATGATCAGTTAGGAAAGGAAAACTGAAGCAAAGGTTTCCTTACAAGTCTTCTAATTTTTCTAATAATTATAGAAAACATGCTCAAAAACTTTAGAAAAACATTTTTCTGTATGTGATATATTAATAAATAAACTATGTTTACCTCATTAAATTGGAAAGACTCAATATTAAGGAAAGTTTATATCTGGCTAATGCAATTATCATTTGGATATAATATAGGCATCAAAAAATAAAGGAGTGGCATAAATTTTTCCAAAATGTTAACACTTAATGCTGAGTTTCCAGTTCCAGAATTGTCCACTCCCCTTGAGGCGAACAATCTTCAGAGGAAAAACTAGCCATGGTGATGCTCGCTGAGGAATCATCATGTGGAGATGTTAGTTCACTCCATCTGTTCAAAGTGTCAATATGTGCTATACCCTGAGGTTTTGAGCTATCTCGCGCTAAAAGTAGTGTCTGATTGATTAGATACTGTGCTAAATTTAAGTCTTCAGGAACGGAATTTGTAACATCTAAGTTTGAATCCTGTTCAGAGAGCAGTTGCTTTAGTAGTGTCCAATCTTGTTTTGCAAAATGTTGGTCATCTTCAAAATCCGTATCTGTAACATGTGTTTCTGATTCCACTTTCTGCTCAAATGCTTCTATTACATCCATCTCATATATTGGAGACAGGGTTTTTGAAGGCCGATGGTCATACATGCAGGTTAGTGCCAGTGTGTCACAATCATCTATGTCTCCTGAAATAATTCATAATACTACACAATGTAAAAATTGCACGTTGGTACCCTTCAGAGTTTTGTAGAATATTAACACAATATAACAGTGATAGTCCAAAAAAAAAAAAACACCACCACCACAATGGGAAAAATAACATCTATACAAAATTGACAAGATTTTTGAGGCATTTTTCTGTGTTAAAAATTCAAGGGTAACGTTTAGAAGCAAAATCAACATAGGCAACTAACAATAATTCTCCATAGTTTAATTTGAAAACTTGTGATACAGAAAACAAATTATTTAAACATAAACATAGAATGTGCACATATATCTAATTCACTACAATAGAAAAAGAGAAAAAAAAAGACATAGTGTTTTGATGATGACTTAGGGTAAGTCCGTTGCAAAAGCGGGGGGGGGGGATAAATACATTTCACCTAAAGGCTTATTTGTATATTGCACATGCAAAGGAAGATGCAAGCAAAGACAAACAAACAAAAAAGTACAACTTCAAAGACCTCCTTATTCTTCCGATTTTGCTGAACAGGAAACTACTGATCAGTATTTTTCTTAGTTATAATACACAATAGCTACTCAGTTAGCAACTATTGCATATTTTAAATGTGGGTCATTAGTCTGAATTACTATAATAAGGAAGACAAAAAACACAAAACAATTAGACAGAAAATCATCTAAACAATATGAAATAAGCCTGGGCTTTTTTCATATATTATCATTGCTTCTAAATATAATCTCTTTTAGGAAATTTATCTTTTTATTTGAAAATTTTAGAATAGAGAGATCCTGAAAATTTTAATCTCTGTAAAATGTATATAAATTGTAAATCAATCTAGTTGTCAAAATAGTTCAGTGCTTTTAGTTACATATTACTAGAGTTATTGCACAGGCCTTTAATATACTATCAAGTCTATAAATCATATCCAATGTATAATAAAATTTCTAATAGTCAAGAATTCTTGTGTTAAATTATACATAAATAACTAAATAGCAGCAAACTAAGGTTTTCTATTTATTCTCTCATGTAAAATCTCTTAGTAGGTTAGCTCTATATAACACTCAAAATGTTTACTATATATTACTTCTTCATTAGGATTTTAAGTGAACAATAAAGAATGAGTAACTAGCTAATTTTCATATTAAGAAATTTTTCATTTAAAATTTTAATCTGTTGCTTAAGTAATTATTCTATCTGACTAAAATATAACATTCAGGGCTTCATACAACTTTAAAATTTTATAAACTTATTTTCTTATGCATTTAGCATTTCTATTACTGTACATTACCTGCAGATAAAGCAATATTAGCTTTTTCAGTAGCTGTAGAATGGCTCTCTTTCACTGGACCTTCCTGAGGCAGAACTTGACTCCGAAAGGAGTCTAGAGATTTTGTAGAGCTGTTCTTTGGTATGTCAGAATTGGGTTCTCTTTGATGAAGCTCCAAGTGACATGGTCTTTCTTGAGATTTTACATCACTATCCAAGAATTTGCTGCGTTGCTGAATGTCATTATCTACACTGCTTCCATTGTTTACTTTTTTATCTTCTGGAAGAAGGTGTCTGCCTCTACTGGATAGGACATCTATTGTGTTCTTTTTTCCTGTGGCTGAAACACTCTGTTTATTTTTTCTTGAAGAGTCAATGCTACTAAGATCCAAGAGAGTGCTTTCATTTTTACATACACTATTGCCTTTATTTTGTTTACATTCTAAAATATTATTTTCACTTTCTCGTGAGAATCTGGAATAGCAGGTCCTTCCATGATGTTCATGAGAAATGCTATCAAAAACATCAGAAGGTGAAAAAGAATCTACAGAAGGCTGAAAGGGAGTATGGACTTCTCCTTCATCTGATCCCAGCTCTTCACATTCATCAACTGAAAGTAAAACTGACCTTTTAAACTTTTTATTTGCAGAAAATTCACGACTTTCATTTTCAGTTGCATCTTCAAAAGCTAAATTAATTATTCCCTGAAACTGCTGAGGAGCTGGGTTAGATATAGAGAAATTTTCTGCAACATTTTCAGCTTCAGATCTTTCATCCTCTGTTTCATCTGCTGAAGAAGATACTTGATCTATTTCCTGAGCAAACTGGACACTGCCTCGTGGAATAGTTTCTTTTTCCCTAGGGTGAACTATTGTAGATCGAGACCAAATTTCTGGCCTTTTCCTAGGGATTTCATCATCACTTGTTGAATTAACTTGGAAAAGATCATTACTACTTTGCTTTTTCATTTTTACTTCAATTCTTAAATTACTATCATAAATTTTTAATTCTTCAGGAGTACTGGTATCACTGCTACTTCTTCCAAGAAAATCATGGCACAGCATAGTGCCACATTTAGAGATACCTCTGTCATTTGACCCATCATCATCCTGAGACCCTCCGGCATCATAGTCTTCAGATCTGGGCTTTATGTCATCGGAGGATGTGGTAGCACTGCCAGTATCAGATTCAGGACTCTCTCTCTGATGCAGAACACCAGTACTCAAATTCCAGTGACCCACAAATGGAGTTTCTGGAGTTTCACGGCTCTCTGGAGATTCTGATGTTTCCATATTTTTAGGAGAATTTTTTTCTGACAGCTGTCCTGAAAAACACTTGGAGGAAACATCTGAGTCTGCTGTAGCATGTTTGTCTTCATCCATAGCAAAGGCATCAGACAACTTACTAGAAATTGTCAGTCCTTCCAAAGGAACTTTCAATTTTTTGTCTTCTTGAGCAGAATTTAAGGTACCATTTGCCCTTTCAGGAATACACAGTGAAACATCTTCCACACATTTAATACTTGATTGTTTGTTTGTATCTTTTCTCACTACTTGGTTCTCCCTATCTGATATCAAATGGATTTGCCCTGCACTTGTTGAGTCTAAATCACAAGCTGGATTAGAGTTCAAGGAATTTTCATTTGGATTTGGAACCATGTATTTTAGGGCTGTGGTGCTATAAAATTTTGAATTTACATTATCACTCCCATCAGAATGACAACATATGTTAGCTGCATTGCAATGATCTGTTTCTTTGTGATTGGGAAATTTTGTTTCACTTTTATCTAAACAAATCTGTTTGGATTCCAGTTTGTGTTTTAATGATTTATCCAGCTTTGAAATATTTTGGCATTCTAACACCAACTTCTCTTTTTCTTGATCATGTAATGGCTTTTGTGGGTCAAGCCTGCAGGATGACTGGAGTGCTTCTGCATCACTGATTTCAGATGCAAGATTAATGAGAGGTTTGTGAGGCTTCTGTTCAGAAATACTGTCCTTGTTGTTATTTTCACGCACATCATGAAACATACTTTTTTGGACAATAGATGTTTCACTTTTTAAAGGTCTTTGGGAGGAAGGATGAGTTTTTGACATAACCTGTCCAGGAAGCATTTTCTGTTTTGAATCTTTATTATTCAAAGTTTCACCTTTCTTTGACTGATTTAGATTTTTAGGCATTGCCACTATTTTTGCATTAACCTTAGGCAAAGCTGTGTGTACTTGCTTGACGATTTTTCTCTTAGGTGCTTGTTTCTCTGTAGGCATATTATGGTCCAACTTTGCCACATTTTCATCAGACTGCCTTGAAGAGACTGAAGATTTTACTGAGTTTGGTGACTCTCCTTGGGATCCTAAGAAAAGTAAGAGGGTATATTCAGAAATGTATTATCACCTCCAATTTGTGAGTAAAATTTAATATTTGTTTTAAAATTACTTCAGAAAAAATAAAATCAAGACCACAATGGAAGGGTAACATATCTATGATCAAATGGACAACCACAGATTAGGAATCAGTTACATGATAAAATAAAAAAAAAAATTTCAATTAGAAATATAGAGGGACTACTACAGGGTCCCAGTAAAAATTACTAAAATAGGATCTCTCTTCCTCAAGTAAAGAGACTTGATTTTTATGCCAAAACTGGATTTGCAAAAATGTATGAGGGTAAAAAAATCGGATTTTCTTTTACCAAAGGAGCAAGAAAGGTCTTCCCTTTGAAGTTTTTGGAGAAAAAAAAACCAGTGTGTTCTATATAGCTGAAAAGGAGAATCAAGCTAAATATAAAATAAATAGAACTGTTAAAATTGTTGCAGTTGTTTTCTTCAAACATGAATAAAACCAATTTGTCATAACCAGATTATTACTACTGTAGCTCATTAGGGTTAACAACTTAGATCTCCAGTGGAAACTAGAACTGCTGACTGGAAAGAAGGGGATTAATTTGGGGAATCCATTTGTTTACACTGGTGAAAGTCTTAGAGATGATATTTTGGACATTCAAATCTGTCAAACAGAATTATCAAATATTTTTAAATGTTTAATATTTAGCTATTACTAGGGTATGAAAATATTTTCTCTGCCTTATTTTTAATTGATTTTCAGTAATAATTCATAATCCAAATCAAAACTGTTTTTAGGATTTTACAAACTGCTTTTACATATGTGAATGCTTGATACATAAAAGCAATTTTGAAAATCAGTTATTATGTTAGCAAATTATGCAATCTGATCAGTACTCTTTTCCTTTTCAGAACACTGAAAACCAATGGACTCACACAGATTCTGGAAGGGAAATTCTTCCTCCTTATGTATCATAGTTGTTTAGACTGCATTATTATTATTATTATCTTTTTTTTTGAGATAAGAGTGTCGCTCTGTCACCCAGCCTGGAATGCAGAGGCACGATCTCGGCTCCCTGCAACCTCCGCCTCCTAGGTTCAAGCAATTCTCCTGTCTCAGCCTCCCAAGTAGCTGGGACAACAGGCACACACCATCACACCTGGCTAATTTTTGTGTTTTTAGTAGAGATGGGGTTTCACTATATTGGTCAGGCTGGTCTTGAACTCCTGACCTCAGGTGATCCACCTGCCTTGGCCTCCCAGAGTGCTTGGATTACAGGCGTGAGCCACTGCACCCTGCCTACACTATTACTTTTTAAAGAGTTCTTTAGTGCCAGTTTTACAAATGAAATTCCTATAATTAACAATGGAACTTTCAAGAAACACGGGCATAATATTTAAAAGGACCAGAAATGCAGCTAAACTAGTGACTCCCTTAATTATTTCTCTCACAAGAGACAATAAAACCAAACAGAGGCCAGGTGTGTTGACTCATGCCTGTAATCCCAACACTTTGGGAGGCAGACGAAGCAGGATTGCAGTGTGATCATGCCACTGTACTCCAGCCTGGGTGACAGAGCGAGACCCTGTGTCAACAATAACAACAACAAAACAACAAAACCAAACCTACATCCCAAAACACCTGTCTGAAAAGTATACAATCTCATCTCTATGGTGTGAAACAAACACAAAATGAGTAAAACCATATTTTGCTTATTTGCTCCTGAAGTTCCAAATCAGAGTTTGGCTTATCCAGTTTACACAAGGAAATAATTTCAAGATATCCAGTACTATTTCAGCTTTACCTTGAGTTTTAGTAAGATTAGATGGGGTACTCTTTGTCCTCTGCTGAGCTGCGCCATATCCATTGCTAGTTCCTCTTTTCTTCAAAATTGCCTGTGGTACTGGCTCACTATATCCTTTGCCACTGACCTTCTTTAGTACACTAAGAAAAATTATTTGCATTCAGTATTACACTGAGATTCCAAAACATGAACTTTTTAAAAGACTGATACCTGAAACAGTTTTTTTTCAAGAAATAAAAAATACATCTCTCCTGAAAATAGAAAAATCATATGCTCATAAGTCTTTAAGTTTATAAAACTGTAGATCAAGTATAATAAAGCAATGCATAATCATATACCATAGTACACATTGATATTCTTTTAAATATTGTGCCTCATTTTGCATATACTAATTTCTTTTAATAAACTGTGTTAAATTATGTAAATACACTAAATTTTTTTAACAAAAAATAAAAGATATTTTAAAAATATTTAGCTAGCAGTTAGTATATAATTAACTTTGAGAGAAAGCTAACAGATAAGTTAAAACACTGAATGAAGACCTACCTGTGATTTATATTAGTGTCTTGTTCATGAATACTTTTTTTATTGGAAGTTCCATTGGTAACTTTTGAAACAGGTCGAGATTTTATGGCTAAAAATTAAGAAAAAGTGAGTCATAAGATAGAATACATTAAATATGTAACAAATATGTATAAGTTTACTGGTTAGACACTATAAACAAAATGAAATATTAAAGTGGGAAGGACTACATTTTTTTCTCAGTTTGCATAAGTACATATAAATAAGTATTCTGTTGGCATTTGAAACTAAATAAAAGCCCAAATACAGGTTTAGGTTTTTGTTTTTTTAAGGAACTTTAACTGTCAGGAGATATTAAAAATTACAGTGCTAAAACCCACCTACAGTGGAATTTTTGACACTATCTACACTGTTTTTCACCATCTGTGCTGGAGAATCACAAAAGGATAGTTTATGTCCAGAAGGCTTTTCTTCTCCTATTGATCCATTTTCTTCTGGTCCATCCAGACATTCAGTGGAAATTGAGAATTCCATACTTGAATCTGTGGATCTGCTGGAGGGTCCTGCGATGCTGAGGCATGGAGAATCCTTCCCTGTCGCTTTCTTCAAAGGTTTTGCTTTGGCTTGCACATTTAAGTTTCCTGTGAGTACCTTGGGTCTGGCACCTGTAATTTGCCCTTCCTGATTTCTCACTCCTTTTCCATTTAGTAAATTCTTCTGTCCAGTTGCTGCTGCTGCTGCTGCTGTTGCTGATCTTTCTACAACTTGTCTAGGTGACATGTTTTCCAACCGTGCATTATCACCATTTCCTGTTTTGGATTTTATTATAGTTTTGGGCTTTCCAGAAACATTTTTTCCCCCAGTTTTTAGTTGTTTTGTAATTTTAGATGCTATTTTTGTACCATCTTTTTCCTTTACATCATCTTGCTTCAGAGTTTTATTTATACTATTTCTATTGGTACTTGATGAATGTCCAGATGCTCCTAATCCATCGGATTTCATCTTTTTATTAGTAGAGAGATAACTCCAACACTCTTTCTTGTTATTTTCCCTCCAAGATTTGATTTTTATATCACCAGAGTCAGAAACTTGTTTCTTTTGCTATAAAGAAGAAAAAAAATACTTTGTAATTTGACTGAAATCTTTAACATATAATATTATATGTTTCCAAAAGCCAGTCTTTCAAAGAAGAAAAAAATAGAAAAGTTCAATTTTTGATTTAAGGTCAAAGCTTGAACTGTCTTTGATCATTTGGATCAAAACTTTGTCTCAGACTACCTTAATCAAATCTGAAATACAGCATAAGTGTTTATTTTAAAGGCATGCTATTCTATTAAATTAAATAAATAACAGGAATGCTTTTTTAATGTATGAAGTTTTGGTATAAATTAATGTCTATAAAGATTCAGGATGCCTTCAGGAATGATAATATCCAAGATTTGTTAGAAGACTTACTCCCATGTTTTATACTACATCTTTTGTATACATCATCCCACTTAAACCTCACAACAGTCCCATGAAATAGCTCCTGGGGCTGTTTCTATTTCTTAGACAATAAATTGAGGATTAAAATAGGTATGTGATTTACCCCAGGTCTCAGGTTGGTGAGGGATAGAACCAGGACTTGAACTCATGATTTAACCTCACACCGAAGTCATCTATATGGCATAATTTGAGGGAACATTATAAAGATTTTCAATAAAAATTCTCTCTTCAACCTTATCCCAAGTGCCAGAAATTTTATCATTAAAGACTTAATCCTCTGTGGGAAGAATACTTTACTTCTTGGAGTCCTTATTTAAAAAAAAAATTTTTTTTTAAAGCTCCTAGGAAGCACAGCACATCAATACACTACATCTGCAAAGCTTGGTTTTTGGACAAATAAGATACTAGTACAGCACTGGCTGGCTATAGGAAGTGAAGGAAAAGGGATCCTAAAAATAGTTGAAATAGCCTAAAAAGGGACAAATAAAATGGCACTGAAGATAAACGTACCTACTTCATCATTTTCCTTAGACCCAACCTTGATATGAAAGGGAACAAAGAAAATTTTTAAGTTGGTAGAAATTCTAGAATAATATTTTAAGATCATATTGTCATTCTTTTTTTTTTTTTTTTTTTTTTGAGACAGAATCTTGCTCTGTCACCCAGGCTGGAGTGCAGTGGCCCAATCTCAGCTCACTGCAACCTCCGCCTCCCAGGTTCAAGCAATTCTCCTGCCTCAGCCTCCCGAGTAGCTGGGACTACGCCACCACACTCGGCTAATTTTTTTTGTATTTCAGTAGAGATAGGGTTTCACCGTGTTGCCCAGGCTGATCTTGAACACCTGAGCTCAGGCAATCGCCTGCCTCGGCCTCCCAAAGTGCTAGGATTACAGGTATGAGCCACTGTGCCCAGCCAATATTGTCATTCTTTTTTTTTTGAGATGGAGTCTTGCTCTGTCACCAGGCTGGAGTACAGTGGCGTGATCTTGGCTCACTGCAACCTCCGCTTCCCAGGTTCAAGCAATTCTCCTGCCTCAGCCTCCCGAGTAGCTGAGACTACAGGCATGCGCCACCACGCCCAGTTAATTTTTGTATTTTTAGTAGAGACGGGGTTTCACCATGTTGGCCAGGATGGTCTTGATCTCTTGACCTCGTGATCTGCCCACCTGGGCCTCCCAAAGTGCTGGGATTACAGGCATGAGCCACCGTGCCTGTCCTATTGTCATTCTTTATGTAAGTATGCAAATGGTTTTTTTTTTTTTTCCCTTTGGAAGCTGTATGAGATTGTAGAGGTCTGAGGCAGAGCCTGTGCTCTCTTCATCTTTCATATCCCTCAGCACCATATCACATATTGGATACTCAAACAAACAAACAAACAAACAAACAAAAAACGTAATGTTGTTAACACTGAGCATATATTGTATATTTTGATATGCAGTTTAAGGTCTATTTTTAAATACGAAAAGCTTCCAATTACATTAAAAGTTGTCAAAGATAAAATAACATATATGAATGTGTGTGCACACAAAAAAATACATAATAAATAACTTGGTTAAATTTAGACAAAAGGAAAGCATGGTGATAAAGCAACCACTAGATTCTTGTCCTAGTTTTGCCTCTAACCAACCTGGGACATTTCAGAAATTATTAACAGCTTTGGGTCTCAGCTTATGCCTGTCCACAGGGTAGAGACTGGTCCTATTCACAGCAGTCTTCCAGGATTCTATTAAAAAGTTCAAATAGACTTAGTCCTCATTTTTTGTTTTCTTGCTCAAATCTTAGCTCAAAAAATAACATTTCTCTATTTTTAATACCTAAAACCAGGCTGACTTCTGCTTTTAGAACTCCTTCCCCCTCTTAACACTAACTCTACTTAATTTATTCTATCCTTGAATTTATGCATCTTGAAGTATTATGCTATGGGTGAAATCTATATAGTATACGGTATAGCTGTATGCCTTGAAAAATTTCACAATAGGCCAGGTGTGGATTGCTTGAGCCCAGGAGTCTGAGACCAGCCTAGGCAACATGGCAAAATTCTGCCTCTACAAAAAAAAACACAAACATTAGCCAGGCATGGTAATTTGGGCCTATGCCAGCTATTAAGGAAGCTGAGGTGGAAGGATCCCTTGAGCCCAGAAGGTCAAGGCTGCAGTGAGCCGTGATTACACCATGCCACTCCAGCCTGGGTGACAGAGTGAGACCCTGTCTCAAAAAATGGGAAAAATTAAACATAATCAAAAGAAGACAGAAGAGTATAATGAATCCTCACATACCTAATAACCAGCTCTAAAAATTATTAATTATTAATTCCCATTTTGTTTCATACACACCTACTCCTATTTTATTTTGAAGCAAATCCCAGATATCATATATTTTATTCTTAAGTACTTTGGTACTAAGCATTCTTCTTAAATTGCTCTATGATGGAAAAATGAAGCAGGCAACAACCACCACCACAACAAAACAAACAAAAAACCTGTTCCCTGTCTTATCTGATAAACTTTCTCCCACCTCCTAGATAGCTCATCCCTGTTTGGAAAACACATTTATTTGCTCCACATTTATTGAGCATTTACTACATACCAGGTAATTGCACATAAATTATTTCATGTAATTTTCACAATAATCCTGTGAGGTTTTATTACTCCATTTTATAAATAAGCAAACTGAGACTCACAGATGACACATAATAAATGTAAAGTCAAAATTTGAACTCTTTATTTTATGTCCAGCATCCATTTCAGCATATCACTGTCTTTCTGGGGGAAACTTACTTCCTTCCCATTGGGAAGGAAACTGTTTCCTTCCAACTGTTCTTAACAGAAAAAAGACTTAGACAACCACAAAGTCAGGAGGATGAGGAAAAATAATGAAACCTTGTTCTATTTTGCAATAAGGCAAGGAAGGAGGAAAAGCCTGGTTGGTAGCAGGGGAAAGGAAGGCAAGTAGGTTAATTCCTCGGGGCCTTTAAAAAACACGGGGATAACAGGGAACACAGAAAAAAATGTCCTAGTGCACCATTTCCTAGAGTATGTTCTGTAGAATCATATAATATGTTTTAAAAGGGTTGAGGGAGCTGGGCGCAGTGGCTTACACCTGTAATCCCAGCACTTTAGGAGGCTGAGGCTGGTGGATCACAAGGTTAGGAGATCAAAACCATCCTGGCTAATACGGTGAAACCCCATCTCTACTAAAAATACAAAAAATTAGCCAGGCGTCATGGGGGGTGCCTGTAGTCCCAGCTGCTCGGGAGGCTGAGGCAGGAGAATGGCACGAACCCGGGAGGTGGAGCTTGCAGTGAGCCGAGATCGCGCCACTGTACTCCAGCCTGGGTGACAGAGCGAGACTCTGTCCCAAAAAAAAAAAAAAAAAGGGGATGAGGGAACCCTAGTC